GATCCTCTCTGAGCCCGGCCTATGGCACTGAATAGATCCCAGGAATGGCACTCTCCTGGGAAGTTTTGGCCTGGAACATATTTACAAAACTCCAGAGGGAATGGAAATAACCCGACCTACTCCCTACAGACTCAAATTAGCAATTTTCTTATTCTTCATAACCCCTCTGGAAATGCAAACTATGTAATATTGGTCTAAAATTAGGAGCATAAGTCACAAGAGAAAAGTCCCACTACTTTTGGAGAAAATGTTTTCTTAGCCTCATCCCTGCATTTGTTCTAAATTAGAACACAGCAGTTGTCTATCAAATAATTACTTTCTCCTAATACATATGGATTGGGGGCAAAATACTTTTAAGAGAACATATTTTTACTGGACTGCCAAAAACTGAAATCCAATCCCTTTTCCTGGTTTGAATCTACAGGACATTCAGGTGAAGGTCCAGAAATCTTGAATAGGAAGAACCTGTTCCATGGGCCCAGGATGCCTTCTTAAATGAAGGACACTTTAATAATAACAATGGCAATAATGTTCTCTGTGGCCAGTGCAGAATGACTGGTTAAGATGTGTCAAGAAACTGTGTGAAGTGTTTTACAACCACGATTATATTTAATCCTCATGATAATCCTGAATTGTGGGTATTGTGATCCCATTTTACATATGAGGGAAATTAAGGCCTAAAGAGGTTAAGAGATTGACCTAGAGCCATATGGTTATAGAATGAGTAGGTGGTAGAGTTAGAATTTTAACCCAAATAAGTCTAAATCTAAAGCCCACCTTCTGATATTATCTCCCATACAGTTGTATCTACTATGTGCCAGACATAATCCTAAATAATTTATATTAATAATTTATATTAATAATCTTTTGATTGTCACAATAATCCCTCCCAAAACTTTGTTCCATTCTTTTCCTTCAGTGAAGATACTCATACTAGCTTCAAATCTGTCACACACTTCGAGATTTTCTTGTTAAACTGCCAATCCCCCTGGTTGGCAATGTGAGTGATAAGAAGAGTATGTGTGCCATACAGCACCTTTGCATAAGTTAATCCTAGTAGACTCCTAGGACCTTGGGCATGCTACTTAACTTCTTTGTTCCTCAGGGTTCTCATCTGTCACTTGAGTTGATTGGCTCCTTTGAGCTCTGATTTTCTAGAATTCTATGGTAACTGGAGGGACTGTCTGGAAATGGGTGTAGCATGGGCAAGTTTTGATATATGGCGGTAGAAATGACCTTGCCATGAAGGCAGAAGAACTTTGCAAGTTAGGGGGATGTGAGGCCTGGCTCCTAGGAGCAGCTGGGATGGACAGCAAGCGGGGGAGGGAGTCAGGGTTCTTCAGCCAGCCAAAAGATTGTAACCGGATTGAAGAGAATAAGGTGAGTCACAATCCCCAGGGTGCAGGAACAAACATGTGGTATGTGTGACCCCAGGAGCAGAGCCAGGCCTACAAGATGGAAATCAAGGGGTCAAGAAGGAAGAGAGCTTCCTGTCCCTTAGGTACTTGTTCAGGGGCTGGACAACCATTGGAAGCAGTGTAGAGGGGATGTGACTTTTAGAGAGTGGATTTTCCAAAATGCAAGTTTGATCCTGTCCCTCTTCAGGCCGGTAACATCTACCAGAACTCAAGTGCCTATGAATACCATCCAAGGTAGCTCCTTACCATGGAGCATGAGCCTCAGCACAGTCTGTTGCTGACCTGGTTACTTCACTTCTCACCCCTAAGCCACTGCAGCCATACCTAACTTCTTGCGGCTTTTTTGAACACATTATGTACTGTTAAGACTTCTGTGTCTACCCACATCCTCTGATTCCCTTTTCACATCTACAGGCATTTCATCGCTTGGCTTGAGTTATAATTATGTGTCTGACTTCATCAACTGGCTGTGATACCCTTGAGGACGGGGCCTAGTTACTCATCTTCATATGGTGGCAGACTTGACTGGAGTATGAACTGAGTTTATATTTGATGAATGAAGTGGGATTAGATGACATCGGATGGTCTTTTAAACTATTAAGATCCTGCTATTTTATTTCATTTGAATAAGAATTAACTGGAAGGCCTAACATGTACAATCACATGGTGAGGTTTTGGGGACACAGACAATAATAGTGATAATAATGCGAACAGAGACAACAGGAGCCAGGGCCCAGAACCAGGGTGAGGTAAGAGAAGAATAGGTAGGTGGCTCCCTAGTGAAGCACAGGCATCTCCGTCCCTTTGTGTCATAGCCACAAACTCTTTCTTCCAGTGAGTGTGTGGGAAAAGAGGAGCAAAGAGAAAGCAATGGGGATGTTCGTTTGGTTCTTTCTCTCGGGATTTAGAACAGAAACTGGCTTTCTCTAGGGGTCCCCATGCCAACCCCTGCTCCCCAGTGGGTATTTCCAAGGGAATAGGCACCTGGGGACCAATTTCCAACTCAATTTCCAACTCCTCTCATCCTGACTTGCTTTATCAGCACCAAACAGTAGTAGATGTCAACCAAGTCAAGGCTTGCCCACAAGAATAGCCTTAAGGGAGCTGAGAAAAAGTCATTCAGTAGCAACTACCACAGAAGCTCCCCACCCCCTTTTCCTCAGTGCAATGGATGTAGCTGTCCCTCTGATTTCTGCCTCCAAGCTTATAATTGAGAATTTGCTAGGTGACACCAGCTAGTGCTTCCTGACTCTCTTGAGTTCTTATTGAAAAAGCCCCAGTCCTCTTATTTCTCATCTAAATTTTAAAAAAGAAGCCAGAAACTCAGGTCAGGCATTTTTGACTGTGGCTAGAGAAACAGGGTGGGCAGATATAGTTTCTTCCATATGTACCCTTGCTGTTCCTGCGCTCCAAACACAGCATGGAGATGGGAGAGGAGCAGGTCATATGCAAAGGCAGTGCTGGGGTAGGGCTCTCATGGGCGCCTTGAAACCATTTTTTTTTTTATACTTGACCAAAGTTAGTTTCCTTCCTTCTTTATTAACACAAATCTGAAAATGTGTTTGTGTCCGGAGAAAGTCCTATGAATAACTGATGATACAGTTGTTGATTAACTTGTGAATCATCCTGGGGGAAAGGGAGACTGAGAAAGGAGCAGGAGCTCTGGAGGCTGTATATGACTTGTCATAAAATATTTAGCAAATGGTCGTCCAAACCACAGGGAAAAAGTCAGAGAGATGGGAATTTAAAAGCTGCCAGGATTTAAAAGCTATTTAATGCTTATCATCAGTGCCAAAGAGCTGAGAGCATCCCCCTTCCTCCCCACATTGGCAGCCACAGATCCGAGAATGTGAAAAGGGCTTGGATGGGCTGTGGAGCGCTGGTGGGAACTGAGAGCAGGCAGCGCGCTGAAAGGCTTTTTGTTTGGTAAATCTTGTAAACAAGGGATCTCCTCTGAGGTGGAATCCTCACCTTGTCTACTGCCTGCCCGTTCTTTCTTTCTCAAGCTCTCCTGGATGATAAACTCTCCACGTGGAGTAATAGTGAAGCCTCTAGTCAGTGGATATTTCAAAATATTCTGATGCTTGGCATCAATGACGGAAAGAAAAAAAATAGCCATTTGATGAACTGAATTTGTCACACTTTTCTCCAATGTTTTGGTGTCAATTAGACAATGGCTTCAGTCGCCGGTCCCGATATGACGTGGTTACATCTATTCTAAAGGTTGGAGCTCGGATGTTGTCTCTCCTAAAGGGTCAGGGAACCCACATTTTTAGGGTCAGGGTAAGGACTCGCTTCTGTAACCTGAGTCTTTGGAGATCTGTTTATTTTGAGGTAAAGGATGAAAAGATGTTTCCTGATATTTTGGCTTGAAAGCCTCAAATGTCAAGTGATGTTCTCCTGAGTATCAATACCATTAGGAAAGATAAAGTAAGGGAGAAGTGGCAGGGAAATAATTTAGGCCAGTGAAAATAATCATCCTGGCGAAGAGACCTCCGGATAGTAGTATGAGTTCATTGGTAAGCAATGCTAGTAAATGTGGTGGCTTCAATCAAAGAATCTATTAATTGTGCCAAGAAGGTCCCTGCTTTTAGGGAACATATACGCTGCTTGCTGGGGACGCATTACCTAAGCGATATGGATAATTAACCTTTGAGGTCAGAAAAGAAACCTCTGGGCAAGGTGGTCCCAAAGAAGACGATAGGAATAACTCTAGCAAAGTTACTCTACATACATTAGAACCACAACATGGTTCTTCTCCCTCATTCATGTTTTGTTTTGGTTTCTTCTTCATCTTGTTCCTGCTGTTTTGCTTTCTTAGAAAGTTTTCTCTTCTATTCTCTACCTACCTCAAATCCAACACATCCTTGGAGGCCCACTTCAATGAATTTAGTTACTCTTGACTATTCCAATCTTCATTAATCTTCACTTCCTTTGAACTCTTATAGTTCTTAGGAGTTCATTCATTTGGCACAGGATTATAATACTGTGCATTATAATCAGTTTTTTTTTGATGGAAGATTAATCTTTTCTCCTGAACTCAACTGTAAGTTCTTTTTGGCAGGTGCCAAATTTTAAAACACTTCTGTGTTACTCACAGTTTCTAATAGTTCATAACTTGCCACTGGGTATTTGCATACACCTTGATATCCTGTAGGTGGGCTGCTTTTGGTGAATGAAAATCTGGGTTGGGATTGTGGAAGAAGACTGGATTCTCGGTAGGCCTAGGCATGTGCTCCAAATGAGCACATCCAGGTTAAGAAACACATGCTCCGAGCAGTTTTTGGTCCTGAAGTTCCCTTTCCCTTCTTAGTTGTGATTGTTAAAACAGATGGAGGGTTCAGAAAAGTTGTAAGTTGAGTAAATAATTAATTTACCAAGAGTGAAAGTTGATCAGAAGTTCTATTCACGTTTCAAAAAATGTGTAAGAAAGAAGGAAGAAAAATAAAGGAAAGAAGGAAGGCAGGCATAGAAGGAGGGACATAGACATAGAGAAAGGGAGAGGGGAAAGATTGAGAAAATTGAGAAGAAAATAAAAGAAAAAAGCCTGGATTGGAGAACACATCAGACTTAGTCTTCAAATACATCCACCAATTTCATAATGTGGTCATTTTTAATATTAAAAGTAAATTGTAAATGTATCTTTATAAACAATATGCATAAAATAGATCTATTATTCTAAACCCTTTCTTTTTAAAATGCTTTTTCACAGTAAATTTTTTAGGTGTCAGATCTCCCCTCAATAGTGCAATTGGAAGAAGGAAAACGTTGTCAGTGAATTAGGACTTCTCTGCTAATACAAGTCCTTGTATATTTCCTGTAGGAGTGGGTGAAGACTCATGTCTGTCTCTGTTTTCTTTATTACTTGCAATAGCTGCACATGTTCTGTTACAATTTGCCTGAGGTCTGTCATTTTCTGGAGCAGCTTGGCAAAGAGCTGAGAGGACTCGGGGTGGTTCATCTTGAGCTGGAGCTCCAAGGCTTGCAGCAAGTTGTCTTGTATGTCCTCAATGGGCTTCACATTCAGCAAACCCGGGCGGTCTGGGGGAGCAGAAGAACAGGAGGTTCAGTTACAAATTCTCTGGCCCCACATCAGAAGCATATTCAGCCAAACTACGCACCCATCTTTTTCTTGGTTTGTTTGGGTTTTAAAATAAGGTTGGAAGAGAGAGTAAGTAATAGCAAGCAGGAACTGCATACAGGAGGATGGAATGGATCGGAGCCCTTTCCAGGGGCATTCTTTTCCTGGCCAGGACTTAATCTGTGTAATCAGTTGACATAACATGGTAAAAAGGCAATCTCCTCCTCAGACTGAGGACTCCTCTGCCAGTATGCTTCTACTCACTCAGAAATCTCATTTATAACTTCTGCTGCTTCTTGATGAGTCTATGTTTTATAACCTCTACTTACTTTTTCACCACAGCTTTAAATATGCTTCTAAAACAAGCTTTGTCTTCTCTTTTGCTTAATATCCCATATATATTTTCAGAGACAAGACATAGTTTTTACAGTTTGTAAAGACAGACAGCCCCCCCGCCCCAACCCCAAGATTTTAACAGGTTTCTTCTGAGTGGTTGCAGGTAATTTTCATTTTCTTCTTTATACTTCCCTTCTTTGAATATTTAAAAAAAATTTTTTCCTTCTTTGAATCTTTAAATGGTGAGCTTAAATTACTTTTACATTTTTAATGTTTTTCTTCATGCAGATCTTCTTAGATGTATCCTTAAATGCTTTACTTTTATTCCTTACTTTATAATAGTCTATACTTCTTTTTGTTTTATTTTCAAATACACTCCTGCAGATGTATAGAAAACATATTAATTTTAGTATATAGAATCTATTTCAATTTCCTGAACTCTTGTCAATTAAAATAGTTTTTATCCTGGATTTTATTTTTTTTCCTACTTTGATTAGACTATTACCTCTGCAAATAATGGCGGTTTTCTTTCTTTCTTCTTTTCCAGTGTTTACATTTCTCATTTCTTTTTCTTGCCATAGTGCATTGGCTAATACCTCTAATATGCTATTAAATATTAGTAGTGGTAGGAGGCATTCTTGTTTCATTCCTAACCTTGAAGAAAATGTTTCTAATGGTTTACCACAAGTATGATATTTACTATAGATTATATTGGGTATGTTTTAGTCCTGGCTTTCCAAGAGTTTTAAAGTTTTATATTTGTTGTAGTTGGGAATGTTGTTGCATTCATCAAATGTTTTTAAATTTTTCATTCTAAAGAAATTACCATATGTTTTTATCTTAATCAAGTATCATGAATTATATCAATAGATTTCCTTATATCTTTGTATTCATTTACTAATAATATATTTAGGGTTTTAAAATTTGTAAGTGAGATCAGTCCAGAGTCTTCTTTTTTTGTGCCATCCTTTGCCTGTTTTGGTAATAAATGTTAACTGGTCTTATAGACTGAGTTGATACTGTTTCTATGCAGTAATGACCTGTTCCTTGATGGTTTCTTGGAATTCACTGGCAGAACTGTCTGAGCCTGGTGGTAAATCTTTGACTACCTTCAATTTTTCTTCTATAGATTTTTAGTCTCCTTAGGCTTTGTCCCACTTTTAAGTGACATTTTAGTAATTTATAGTAGAATAAAGTTGTACACGATATTCTTTTGAAATCTAAAATCTCTATTTTTATTTAACTGGATGCTTTTTATTTGTGTATTCTCTTGTTTAAAAATCTGATTCGCCAAAAGCTTATCTTTTTTTCCTTTTTAAAAAACACAGCTTTTGGTTTTATTAATCAATTCTGCTTTTTGAAATGGTATTTTGTTTTTCAATTTAACTAGTTCATGCTTTTAACTTTCTTTAGCTTTATTCTCCTCCTCTCTCTCTCTCTCTCCTCTCTCCTCTCTCTCTCTCTCTCTCTCTCTCTCTCTCTCTCTCTTCTTTCTCTCTCCCCTTTTCTCTCTCTCTCTCTCAGCTAGTGTGTGAAAGCTCCAGGATTTGGAAGGGAGAGCTGGACCCTTCAAACATGGGGAAAATGCCTTTCAGCAATTCTCTCCCTGTGCTATCAATGACCAGGGCACAGGTAGCACATGATCACTTCTGAATGTAGCAGTCTAGTTTCTTGAATTAAATGACTAATTCATTTAGTTTCAGTATTTCTTATTTTTTTGGCAGATGCATTTAAAGCTCTAAAATTTCCTGAGTTTTACTTTAGTCTCACTCAATAGGCTTTGTTCAGTAGTCTTTTCATAGTTCTTTTCCAAATAGTCTGTTTTACTATTTTCATTTAATTTTTAACCTAAGAGTTATATAAAAGCATGATTTAACCCTAGTCAGTTTGGCTCAGTGGATAGAGCATCAGCCTGTGGACTGAAGGGTCCTGGATTAGATTCCAGTTAAGGGCATGTACCTCAGTTGCAGGCTCCTCGTCAGCCCAGGCCCTGGTCATGGCGCAACCAATCGATGTGTTTCTCTCACATTGATATTCCTCTCTGTTTTCCCCTCTTTCTTACACTCTCTCTAAAAATCAATGAAAAAATATCCTCGGGTGAGGATTAAAAATAAATAGATAAATAAATAAAAGCATGATTTTAGATTTTCAAGTGGAAAGTTTGGGTGTTTGTTTTCTAATTTCTAAATTTTATTTTCTATGTTTGTTGCATTGTGGTTAGAATATAAGGTTTCCCCATTAAAGCTTACCAGAGGGTGCAGGGTTTATGTACAACCTTCAGGACACTTATTTGATACCTTGCACTGATGCCAAATTTTAGCTCTTGAAGGCTATTCACCCTCTTTTTCTAATTTAACTCTTTCCCCCTTCACTGTAAATTAAAGCACTGTATAGGAATTTTTACTTATCTTTTAATATCTTTCATTCTTTAGCCTCAGTTTCTGAAATTATCCCTTTGCTCCAACCATATTAAGCTATTTCCATACCAAGTCCCTCAAACCTCCTATGTTCTGTCATGACTCTGTGCTCAAGCAGATTCTGCTCCTCCTGCCTGCAACAACAATCTTCCCTTCTCTTCACCCATCTCATCGACTTCAACCTATTCTTCAAAACACAGCCTGTGCCATTATGTCCTGGTAGCCTTCCTTAGCAATATCCCTTCCGCTCCCCTGTTCTTCTAGTCCCTTTTCTCTGGACCTTGAAGCACCTTATAAACACTTCAATGTCTATTATATTAGTATATTACACTTGGTGAGCAGATTACATTTTCTAAATATTGTGCTAAGGGCTTTATACACAATATATAATTTAATCTTCATAATAACCCCATAAGGTCAATGTTTTATGGAGGGGAAAACAAGCTTTAGAGAAAGGAGTTAAATCTTGCCCAGGATCTGCCATGTGCTAGTAAATGGCAGAGCTGACATTTGAATTCCAAATGCTATGCAGTATTCAACTCTTATGACCTTGTATAATAAGTACTGATTTTCTTGTTTATCTTCCCTGCTAGACCATGAGATATCAGAAGGCAGAGACTATGTCCTGATCATCTCTGATCAAGTGGAAACATAGGAAACATTCAGTTGGTTGAGTTAATGAATTAGGTTTTCGGGCTGAGTTCTGAATTGAAAAGTACAATTCTGTTGGTTGGTGAACAAGCCTAAAGGCAGGATCACTACACAATGAAGAAACCTCCTGTAAACAGTGTTTTCCTGTATCCAGTAAACAACAGTAACCTTTATCCACTGAGGTGAGGCACAGGAGAGCAATGCTAGAACAGTTTCAGGTAGGATTTGTGGAACTGTAAACATTCTCTGAAATTTTCTTTTTTTAATTACAGAAGGAAAGTTACCTTTGGTTTGATTCTTTGCCACCAACCCCTCTCCCCACCTCCCCACACACACTTCTCTAACATGTCCCATTGACTGGACTAAGTATATGTTTTTCTTTACATTTCAGCATTTAATTTTGGAATCATCAGCAAAAATCTCAAATTCAGAGAATTAAACAAAATAATTTAGTCCTGGCCTAGAGAATCATGCTCCTGGAGGAGTGGTGCCTTTCTCACAGCTGCTGTGCAATAATGAACACCTCTCTGACACTTCCAGGAAAACCAGATCCTGGATTGGTGCCTTTGGTTTAATGACTGCTGATCCTCCCCCTGAACAAACGTTCCAGATTTCAAAGGCCTGTGGCGGTGTAAATGTATGTGCATCGGAAGTGGCAATACTTTGTGTCAAGAAAGGTGTTAAATGTGACTCCTCCACGGGCTGGGACTGCACACAGGGGTACTGGCTTCTTAGAACATTTTCTCCTTCCTCTTGAGCAGCAACTTCTGCTGAAGAGATTATATTAATCTAGTAGGTTTCATTTATCATGACAGTTCAAACACCCAAACCCTAAAGTGCAGCTGATCACGTTTGCTGGAAACACTTGGCTTTAGTGCAATATAATGGAACAGGCCCCTCTAGGAGTGGAGAAGGATCTGGTTTGGATTTTCAAACCCCTCTTTGGCAAGTTATTTTTTATGATGTGATAGATGAAATTTGGCTGGAGGGCTGAAATTTTGTGGCCACTGATTTATATTTTCTCCAGTGACAAGTTAGATCATTTACAGATCTGTCTCACTGTCCTACTGAGCCTCAGTCAAGGCAAAATGGAGTGCAGTTGAGCGCAAAAAGTAGTATATTCTACTTCTAGATCTTTCACTAACCAGCTCGGTGACCTTGGGCAAACTAAGCTCACTGGGCTTCTTCTCTGTAAATGAAAAGGATTAGACTAGATAGATGATCTCTAAAAGCCCAATTCAAAAGTTCTAAGCTTTATTCTTATTTGTAATTCCCTTTATATAGTTCACATAATTAAACTAGGGAAATACACTCAAAATCTAATTAGAAAGGGGTATTAACAAGCTTACACATTAAACTTAGAATACTTGGCTTATTTAAAAAGCAAAAAAAGCTTCCTTTGGTCTTAATCAATCCCTAGGGTCAAGGGCAAAAGGGATTTGTTATGGTTGCTCCCCACCCCCCACTTTCTAATCAGCTACTAGGCTGTCCCTGGTCCCCTCTCCTATCTTTCTCTCTCTACTTTCCTTCTACTCACATGCAAACCCTTAGTAAGCTAAGGGAGGTACCACAAATGTGCCATAGACATCTAAACAACTGGAGCAGTCCTGGTCCTTCCCTTTCCTCTCCACTTCCCACCAGCCCGAAGTCTGCTAAGCTTGTTCTCCGAGGCCTGAGAGTCTCTCCCTGAACCTCGCTGAGGGTCAGAATTGAGTTCTAGAACAGGGTCAGGGTCAAGGGACCCCTTTTACTGGGCCAGGCTGCCTAGAAAGCCCTTTGGGAATGTGTGTATTGACTCACTCCAGGACATAACACTCCAGGAAGCTGGAGTCAATTACTAGTTCCTTACTCTCCAGGCTGCAAAGAATTGGGAAAGAACCTTTTCCGGTCTCCATTCACACAGTGCTGGAATTGATTAGAGAACACTGTTGATTATGGGCAAATCAACAAAGCTCCTATCTTATCTAGATCTGGTTCTGTTAAGTGGAGAGCTTATCTGAAACACAAATTCTCTTGACCCTCCAGGGATCTGCCCACCTGGTCCAGGCATTTCCCTAGCACCGATTTTCTCAGGAGGTGTCTGAGTTAGTGAACCAGATGGCCACAGTGGAGTCTCCTGAAGGAGAGGTGAAAACACCAAAATGAAAGGTTTTGTCTCTGTTCTAGGAGCTGTTGTCATGGCATTCCCAATCTCTCCCTACTGGCTTTCTAATAGACACTAGTAATCTGAAAAGGTCTGTACCCAGAGCATTTAGAAAAAAGAGGGCTGACAGCTGGACAGCTATAAACTGATCCACAGACAGGATTGGGTGAAAACTGAAGGGGAGGGAGGGCTACTTAGGGAGCTTGGTAGTTGGTATCTCACTTTCTTGTACACTTCCTCTTTAGTTTCCTTTATTCCATTGCTTCCTAAGTCACAGATCTGTTAAAAAAGAGCACTGAATTTGGAAACAGAAGACTTGATTGGAGTCCCGTCTTTCCTCCACTTAATTTTCTTGTCACTTTGGACAAGTCATCTAATTTTCCTGGGTTTTGGTTTAATTTTTAAGACAACAATGGAATGGTTGTGTTTTTTGTTTCTTTCTTTTCTTTTTTTTGGTTTTTGTTCTTGTTTTTTACTAAGGTCATGGTGAGAATGAGTTAGGTAAAGGAACTTTATAAGATATTACTATCCTGTGTTTGTTCAAAAAAAGGCAATTTCCATAGGGATCGTCCAATAGTGTAAGCAGGGTGGGATGACACATATACATTGGGAAAATAAAAAGGTTTTGAGGTGTTATTGGTGAGAACATAAATTCAGGAGTGCAAGGAAATAATTCCAGATGCAGACACATGTTTGGGGGTTTGGGCAAGTTCTCATTCTTGTAGCTGAATGCATGTAAGAAAGGTAGTTTAAGTATAACAACAAAACAAAAATATCCTGGTGGCCAAATTCACTTCCTCCTTGAAGACATGGTGTTAGGGATTTTTCAGTACCTTTCTGATCTAACAATCAGAATCATGGTGGACATTAGGTAAAACTGTGAATTCAGCCAAGTTTATTTTGGGGAAACTATGGTATGGCCTATAGCAATTACCTCCTACCATCTTACCTTTAGGAAAAAATAATGTAAGAAAGTTTCACATGTGTTCTTTTCATATTTAAATTTGAGCTGGGGATTGATAGAGTACAGTGATTCTCAACTTTGGCTACACATTGAAATCATCTGGGGAGATTAAAAACACAACAACTAATTAACATGTGGGTCCCATCTTTAGAGATTCTGACTTGGCCTAGGGGTATGACCTTCAATATTTCTAAAAGCCCCCAGGGGATACTAATGTGCAGCCAAGAGCAAACACTGCTGGTTTAGTGAGAAGCAGTTAGAATCCCAACCTTAAAACTTACTGGCTATGTAATCTTGGGCAAGTTCCTTGACCTCACTGTACCTCAGTTTTCTCATTTAAAAATGGGGATATAACAGTAACCCCATATAACTAAGAGTTGTTGAGATGATTAAATGAGTTAATAGAAGGAAAGTGCTTAAAGCAAGCAATGTCTGACACATGTTAGTTAGCTATGTCTATTTGTAATAGTATACTGTAACATGCCT